CTAGAAAGATTTGCTCCCAACTGCGGCACTTCGTAGTATTCTCTTCCGTTTTCTGCGGTAGAGGAAACGCTGGACAGACTAATTATGGTATGGCCAACTCTATCATGGAGAGGGTGTGCGAGAAGAGAGCGGAGGAAGGATTACCCGGATTGGCGATTCAGTGGGGATCTGTGGGTGACGTGGGTATCGTCGCTGACATGCAGGAGAACAATAAGGAGAACGATAAGGAACTGATTATTGGCGGCATGTCGCAGCAAACGATATTTTGCTGTCTCGACGAGCTCGATACATTCTTAATTCAAAGCCGACCGGTTGTAAGCAGCCTGATCGTAGCTAAAAAGAAAGAAAGATCTTCTGGATTTAACTGTCTGATAAAAACTGTCGCCAATATTTTAGGTATCTGATGGTTCAAAGTATAGAATTACTTTTTGCATATACTTATTATATTTTTTATCAAATCAGTTTATGAGTAGTACATTAAAAGTCATAATATGTCATAATATCATTTTTTATATTACAGAGATAAAAGACATGAAGGTTGTAAGTCAAAATTCATCTCTGGCCGAACTTGGAATGGACTCCATGATAGCCGTGGAAATTAAACAAGCTCTGGAACGAGAGTTTGACATTTTTTTGACTGCACAAGAGATACGAAATCTCACCTTCGCGAAGCTTAAGATGCAATCATTTTAAATTTCGGCACAGTACTTTGACATAAAGTTGAGTTTAATTGGGGTCATGTGGTATACTACTGTAAAGTTCCGACTTCCCTCTATTCATTACATACTAGTGCTATCTTTTTTACAGTGTACATGAAGTTATTGCAAACTAACAAATTGAAGATAGAAAAGAAGCAAATTCGTACGATTATCTTATGTGAGTTTAAATTGGGTTGTAAAGCTTCGGAAACTGCACGCAATATCAATTAAGAAACATACAGCTCAATATTGGTCTCACAAATTCCATAGCAGAAACGAAAGTTTAGAAGATAAAGCGGGTCGGCCTGAAGCTGTTGATAATGATTGATAAAGAGCTATTATTCATGCGGATCCACCGAAAACCACTAGAGAGATTGCACAAGTTATATTTAACATAGACTATTCAATGAGTTGAGATATTCACATTTGAAGTTGAAGATTAAAAGCCGCAATTATTTTTGCACTAACTTAATAATAAAACGTTGTTACATATATATTTATACAAAACTTACTTTTTTTTTTCAGAAAAAGCTAAAAAACGCATTAAATGTACACGCTCCATACAAAATCTTTATTAAAAAAAATTTTGATCTAATTTGAGCTTATAATTCTATTTGTATTTTTTACTACAAAAACAATGATATCAGAAGATTTGCGCTAAAAGAATATAATAAATTAGTAACGTCTGATTTTCTTAATTATTTTTCTTTATTAGACTTGTGTATCTGTTCTTTTTTTTAGAACAAATATATACAACCTGCTGTTTTTTTATTATTTAGATTTACATACAAAAAATACTTATTGTGCTCCAAATACATATATGTTTATAGCATGTGTCACACGAAAAACATAAAAAGAGCACGTATTTTTAATAAAAAAAACAGGTACTTTATACAACAAGTATAAAGTAAAGTAATAAAGTAACATGATTAAGAAAATCACACACACACACACACACACACACACAGACGTTGTTACTAATTAATTTATCATATCCACTTCGCGCAAATTTTCTGATATTGTTTTTGTAGTAAAAAATACAAATCAACATTTCACACAAATCTGTCCATATAAATTTTGCAATATCAACGAAGGAAAGTAGACGTAGGGCTACCAGAGTTACCTTCCCAGGAAAAAATGGAGGAGATCTGACCATGTCTGATTTGATAAAATGAGATACAACGAGATTTGAAATTCAAGTAAAGTCAGATCTGATTGGATACAATTTTATCTCGCCAGATCTGCATGGCCATATTTAATCACATGCAGCCAGATATGCTGAACTACAATCCGATCTCACCAGATCTGACCATTGCTGCCGTTCGATATTGAATCGCAGATCCAATCGGATCTCTTCCGATCTAATCGGACATTATCTGATTGCTTCAGATCTCCTGAAGTACGAGCAGACATTATGCCTCAGATCTTGTCGGATCTGAGCAAACCTAGTCAAACATATCTTGATCTCACCAGATAAGACCAATCTTGGCTTACAAAGTTGTGTTGCTGATTCAATCAGATCTCTTCCGATCTTGCCGGATCTGACCAGACCTAGTCAGACATATCTTGATCTCACCGGATAAGTCCAATCTTGGATTACAAAGTTGTGTTGCTGATCCAATCAGATCTCTTCCGATCTTGCCGAATCTGAGCAGATCTCGCCAGTATAGAACTTATAAAAATTTCGTTCTCAAATCGTCCATTATTAATTTTTACACCCAATGTTGGACATTATTATATCAAATATAATATTAACTCTGTAAAGGGGAAGCTTTTAAATGATTTTTGGTCAAAAAATCAATTAATTTTTATATTAAAAACAGTTTTCTCAATTTTGAAACATTAACATTATATAATAAATATAATCTCTGCCAATTTAATAATAATTGTTAATTTCGACACCATATTTAGAATTTATTATAAATATTCCATTAAAAAAGTATCGTGCAAAATTAATTAATAATAAATAAATATAAAAGATTAATGTGTATATGTATATATAAAACATAAATCTTTTAAATTATTTTGCAAACATACCTTATAATTTAAACTGATAAAATAATATAATTACATATAAACTTATATAGTCATATAAGATTATATATGATCAGATCATAATGTTGCATCTCAAAGTATCCGATAGATGGCATCCGACGGAATCTGATTCTCGTATTTAAAATTTGATGAACAGTGGTATAAGAACGGTATCAGACACGGCAGTGTCGTGCTAAGTTGCGCCAAGTTATGTAAATCGTGGAACGGCACAACTTTTGTATCGTGGAGTTCACTTTTATAATAAAGTGGCACATTAAAAAAAAACATTTGAAAACAACAATTTTCTGCAGTGGATGGACACCGGATCGGATCAGATCTACTCATGTCTGATTGGATCTGAGCAGATATAATAGGTTATATTATTCTCGTTACATATCTAACTCTATCCTCTAGGATCGGATCAGATCTACTCATGTCTGATTGGATCTGATCAGATAGGGCCAATATTTTGATCAAACCAGATCTGAGTGGATTGGATCTGATGAGATCTGTTCAGATCTCTTCCATTTTTTTCCGGGTATACTTTTAATTGGCAAACAGTTTAAGATGTTTATCATCTTCTGCAATGAAGATAATTCTTATTGTGAGGTGCCCGACAAAAAAGTGATCTTTGATGATAATAACCCATCAAAAAAGGGGGCACAGGTTTATTTTTTCTGGAATGGAACGAAGTATATTGGAGACGTGGTATTGAAATCTGGTAATAATCTATAATATATTTGGACATTGCATATTTTCCAGTTTTCTTACTACTGTTATTGATAGTTTTTAATGTTTGCTTATAATATTTAAGATTGAAAGAGTAAAAAATTCATGATTGACTTAGTGTTAACGATGGGGCAGTTTGCCGCTGTGGCTGCGGCAGAAATATTTTGTCATTGTTTAAGGCATGCGATAGTAAAAGACACATCAATGCATTCTACTGCAGCTACTGCGTAAACAAATTCCTTCATAGTGATGATACATGTATTTTTCAGATGACAATGTGATGGTTAGCAAAGTCTATCAAGATTTGATAAAAAACAAAGGAATGCCTAAAGAATTACCTTCCAAGGATAATAATTCTTTAATTATTACAAGTAAAAGGCAAGTTA